ATTTAATATCAACAAATATTGAATACTTGAAAATACTTTTTGCATTTATTAAAGTGACACATGTAATTATATTATTAATAAATTATTTAATAATTATAATTTAATATTTATTAAAAAATTATATTTAAATATAAATAAAACATATTATTGTGTAATTAGTTAAATAAATGCTTATTTTAATATAGTTGATTTAAAATTACAAATATTACAAGTGATATTTTGTACATATATACATATCATCAATATTTTTTCTATTCGTATTAAAATGATGATAGAAAATCACAGTATCATTTTAAAAACAAATTATTTAATTAATTCTTAAAACTTAATTATTTTTTTTTCTTATTTCTCAAACTTCTACGAACACATCCTAGGAAAAAAATTAATAACATTAATTATGATTTATTAAATGATTATAACTATTGTATAATATTCATATATAATATACATATAATATATATTATATATAATATACAATAGTTACATGATATTAATATACAATACCTGCTTTAGATGTATTACATTTTTTATTATTACGAAATGTATTAATTAATGGATAAAACATAGCTGGCATTCTTTCAAAACATTTAAGCATTGGAGTTGCTATGGTTTTATCCAATGGAATCCAAGAAGAATTAGATAAAGTATGAAATTGTTCATCATAAATTGTATGCATATCAAGAATATTTTTCCTGGAAATAAAAATTAATAAAAATAACTACAAAGGACAATAATATTTATTCTAAATCAAAAAAATTTAAATAAATAAATTTAATATAATTTATATATAATTTAATAATATATTTTAAATCATTTACCCTGGATTTCCTGCTACTTTAAAAACAGTAGCGAATGCTCCATTTCTTACTGTATGTCTCATAATATAATGTCCTGGAGACAGATTAGCAAGAGATTGAATAACATTATGCAAAATTATTAAAGAATCTTCGACTTTTATATTAAAAAGTCTCTTGATTTCGTTATTTATAGACATTGCTGTGCGATATTCTATTTGCAATATTTCCGATGTTTTTGCAGATATTCGAACTGAAATAAATATTACATGATACGATATTTGAAATATTAGGATGAAAATTTTTACGTTTATTATTCAATATTATTATAATATTTTATTATTATTAATTTAATAAGAATTAATAATTCAATATATTATAGTATAAAATATGATCAAAATATTCTTTTTTAAAAACTTATTTTTAATATATAATAATATATATACAGATTTTTTTGTCTTAACTCTAATTAAATCAATATTTAAATTTTGTTTATAAATATATAATAAATTTTGTTTATAAATATATAAATTATGTTTATTATTTATATATTAATATAAATAATATATTATATATTATATTATTTATATATTATAAATAATTTACCTCGTGCAAGCGATGTATTAGGTCTAAAAATCAAAGATACCCATTGTTTTAATGCTTCTTCTAATGTTACAGCTTCAGCACCAAAATCAACTTGATGCTCTAATTTTGGTGTTAATAATAACAATCTTTGTACTTTATTTCGTAAAATCTATAAAAATAAAGTAAATTAAAGTAAAATAAAGAAAAAATAATGTAAAAAAAAAAATTTGTATTTTTTAAAAATATTTATTATTAAGTTACAAAAATATTAAATAGTATGACATATACAGACCTCAAATCCATGTGTTTTTGTTCGAACTAATATTTTGTATTCTTTGGTAATATTTTTCATTAATTCATTTTGTTCTGTAAGTTGTCCAATGGTAAATAATTTGTATGATACATTATCTTCTATCATCTCAGAACATTTATTTTCTATACCTATTCATTTATAAAATTGATTACTTTTAATATTTTTCATTTTTTCTTTATTTTTAATAATAATAATAACAACAATAATTATTGTTATAAACATTATGTTTATTGTAACAACAAACGTAATAATAATTAAAAAAATTAATAATTTTTAATAAAAAGCTTTTAATAAAAAATTTGATAATTGATCATTTTTATAATTAATTTATAATTTAAGAAATATATTAGTATATATAGATATCAAAAATATTTTTACCTTCATTATTCATAGAAGATTCATCATTATAAAAATTAGATGTATTATATAAATATTCTTTACAATTTATTATTTCAGAAGAATTTACATTACTTTTAATATCTTCTGTTAAAATTTCTTCAAAGTTCTTATTCTTTTCTGTCATATTTGAAAGTGATTCATTGTTAATTTTTGTGGAAATATTTTCATATTTTTCTTCTAATTTTAATAGTTCTTCAGAATTAATATCTCCAAATATATTATCATCATGTTCTTCATTACTATTACTATATAATTAAAATTTGATTATAATATAATCAAAAAGAAGAATACAATTTTTAAAGAATAAATTTTTATCTTACTTGTGTGAAGATAAATTTTTGGAATGGAAAAAGAAATATTTAAGAATGTATTTATATACCCAAGTATTTTTTTCTGGTATAGTACTAGCAACTGGTGGTGCTGGTTTATCTATATAGATAATATTTTTATCATTATGTTTTTTTATTATAAAAGGTAAAATCCATGAGTTTGGATTTGTTGGTCCAATATTATTTACCAAACACTTAAGGCCACTTGATGAAATTACCAAATCCACATTATTACTTTCAGCCAATTTTTGACAATTTACATCTTCACTTACAGGTAATTTATAAAATAAAGACTTATTGGAATTATTTTGATTAGAAGAAAATCTTTTTCGTAATTGTTCTGAATTTATTCTCAGCATAAATGGTTTAGTGAAAGTTGGTAACTCTATCTTTTGTAATGTACCCTATAAGAACTTTGTATTTAAATTTCAATGAAATATAATATATAATATTATGTTCCAATTATATTTATATATCATATATATAGATATATAATATTTTATTACTTACTAGTTGTAAACAATTAGAAATAAATGTTACATTAATGTTTTTATCTGCTACAAATGGAATGCTTGTTACTTCTGTATAATATCTAGGTAATTCATAAATATATTGTAATTTTGATTTCCAATGTAAATTTATATAATCTTCACATGTAATTTTGAATGATCTTTCATGCCATTTGCTTTTTGCAAACTCTAAAAATTCATCTTGTTCTTGAGATATTATTTGTTTCAAATCCTATAATACAAAGAATATAAAATTACATATCATAAAGAATAATATATATAATTCTATATCAGAAAAATTAGTTCAATAATTTTGTATGATATATTTTATACATTTTATATACCATATATTTCTGTAATTCTTCTCTTTCTCTTCGTGTTAATTTTGGTTTACCAGATTTTGAAAATCTTAATAAGACTCTTAAACACATTGCTTGTTGTTCTTTGTCTAATTGAGACTTCTTAGGAAACTTAAATATTGATTTAACAATACCAGGTACATAACATTTGACTTTATTTATTTGTTTAGATTCACATTCTTTTTCTCCTTCATTTATTTCAATGTCATTATTACTTTCTTCATTTAAATCAGGATCAATATCTTTGATCAAATTGATTTTAACATTTTGATAATCTTCTTCAATATTTTTAAATGGATCTGTAAAATTTCCAGTCATAATCCTATGCATCACACTTTCTTTTTCTAATCTTTCTTCATTAATAAAAGTATCATCTATTATGTCTTCTAATGGACAATTCCTGTTAAATTAATAAATATAAATAAAATTTATAATTATAAATATTGTTTACTTTATTAAATAAAAGAAAGAAAGAAAAAATAATTATCTTAGTAATTTTCACTAATTAAAATATAATAATAATATAATAATAAATATAAATTTGAAACAATTTAAAATAGGTTATTTAATGTACTCCAATTTTTTGTACCTACCAATCGATATGTAAAAATCTATCCATAACTAAGAAATTAAATTAAAACTGTGTTTTAAATATATTTTTAAATCATATTATAGATTTTATATCATATTTTATATGATATTGCGTGAAGTTTCATTGAATTATTATAATCATATAATCACATGAATATGTCACTAGTGTTTACTTTTCAAATGAACGTCAAAATAAAATTGACTACATAATTGAATTTAAAAATTCTATTAAAGAAGTCACTTGTTTTTTTTTTTAAAAGTTTATAATCAATCAATGATAACTGTATTTATATACTGTTTCCCAAATTTATCATTAAAAGACTTTGGAAATTCTTGATATAAGCAATTGATACTTTTCACTACATCTGTGGTTACAGTCACGCGCTAAGAACTAGTATAGATAAGGAAAGCAAATAATGGGAAAAGACGAATAATAGATGAAATAAAAATATGGAAATCAGCGCCATCTCCAGAGTATTGCAAATAAAACACATAAAGAAAGGATAAAAAATAGTGGAAGAAAACTAGAGATAGAATAGAAATTCACAGCGCCATCTCTTGAATATTAAAGATATTTCTTTTATAGAATCATGTTTTAGAAGCGCTCAAAAGATGATGCTGATTCTTAATTCTTATTCTACTTTATCCTATCTTTAAAAAAATGTTTTTAATATTCCAGAGACAGCGCTGATAATCAATTCATATTTTATTTCTATTTTTTTTTATAATTTTTTATCTTTTCTATTTCTAATCGTTCTCTCTACTTGTTTTCTTTGTCTATTAGCTCTATAAAAATGCGCTCGACATGACTCTAATATTTGATTAATTTTATTGTTTCTTTTATTCTTATGTTCTTATATATTGTGATATATATATATATACACATATATTTTATAAATGATTTTTCCAAATGTCACAGTAGATATAGATATATTTCATGAATAAATTAATTTTTCTATGTTTTCTGCAGTTTTCTATAAAATATTTTTATATATTTATTTATTAGATAGAATAATTTAATGTAACAGTATCAAAAGTTTTTTGTGAATATCTCGAAAATTAAGATCGCTTATAATATCGCATATATATAATCGCATATATAAAGGAAAAATTCTTTAAAATTTTAATTTTTTACAATATATTTAAAATTTGAGAGAAAGGTTTGAAAAAACAAGAAAATATATGTATTTCTTTATTTATGTCCACATATTTCTTCCATATTAATCGATATTAAAGGCTCTACGAATTTCTTGAATTCATCTAATGGACACATCTTATCACAATTAGGAAATTTAAGAACTCGAATATTATCCTTATTTTTATAAAGTATCTGTGAACAATAATGGTAACAATAAATCTAATTGTAAAAATAATATAAATAATAATAAATAGAAATTAATTTTGAAAAGTTTTAATTTTATGTGATTTTTTTTTAATCATTTTTACTAATCATCTTTTAATTTCAAAAATAATATCTTGTATCAATTTATTTTTTATAGAAAGTTTTTTTACCTGAACATAATATTCATTATCGTCTTCGTGTAATTCAAACATTAGACTATTACCATAGTAAGGAATTTCGTTATCGAAATTATCCAATGCAGAAAGTATATATGCGATATTTAGATCATGTGCCGCATACATAAACGCTTTTCGCGTATCTTTTTTGCTTATATGATCATTAACATGATTCAACCATTCGCGAATCCATATTCCTGTCGAATGAAAGAATTATTAATAGTATAATAAATCGATGAAATCATATTATATTAATTTTTAGAATTTTTTTATTTTTCGATAAAAATAAAAAAAAAATGAAATTTAAACTTACCACCTAATATTTGTTTCGATTCCAGAATACGAGTACGAATCAAAATATCGTATATAGCTAATTCGTCAAGTTTTCCGTGAGGAAAAATTGATTTCGTCCATTCTGGTAATTCTAAACCAATATCTCTCTAAAAAAAATTATTCCAATTTTCTATATAGTAAAAAATTATGTTGATTATTTTCAATCTTTTTCAATTAATTTCAAAAGTTGAAAATACCTGTGAGAATAAATATTGATATAATACAAACACTCTTGATTGTGTGATATTACCACCTGTGTGTTTGGACAAATATTTATAAATATCTCTATTGTCTTTTTCAAATTGTATCACATCTTCGTCCGTTTCTTCCACTATGTTTCTCAATGTATGAAATCTTGAAGAAAACTGAGTGATATAAAGGCAATCCATAGTAACTGGTATTGTCCATACAGGTATAGGTTGCCAATTCAAATCTGGATTCCATCTAAAATGAATTTTTATGAAATTATCTTATATAGTAATATAGTTGTTAAATTGGCAACCATTAAATTTAATTTAGAACCTTTGTTCTTTGGAAGGTGGATATAGTCCAGCTGCCACGAGTTGTCCACTCATTATAGTTCTATCTACTTCATCAGAGCGAAACCAAATATTTTCTTTCGTGTAAATTTCTCCCAAAAAATCCTCGTATTTTTCTCGAAAGAATTGGCCAACTTTGTACATGGTCATTTTACCAACCTACGTAAATTAAAATTTATCCATAATTAATTCGCGTTATTTAATCGAATTCATTTCTTTTTATTTATAAAATTGGAAGAATTAAAATTGTATAAATTAGAATCACACAATGATTATATAAAAAATGATATTACACGTACATTTGTTAAACCTCCTCGTCCCGCCGGCTTGTAAGTATAATTAATGTAAGGATCGTTAGGATAAAAATTGATATTCGATGGCATTTTGTTTCCATGTCTAAATATCGTCTGTACAAGTTTCAATTCTGCCAAAGATGCTTGACAACAAAGGAGACAAATGATGAATCTTAAAGTCCATGTGGTATTCATCATTCTAAAAGTAAATATAATTTAATAAATAAATTTATATATAGCTTTCAATTTCACTCGATGTTTTATATATTATATCATGTATATTAAACTAGAAAAGATTCCATATAATATTTTGTTTCTATTTTTATTAAATAAATCTTGTTATTTTTGTGATATCGATAATTATATTACAAAATCTTACCGTGTGTTGAGCGTACTTTTATTTTGAGCAACGTTCATATGTTTATAGTAGATAAAACTATGAAGAATTAGTATTTTAAAATATAAAAAAATCTAATGTCAACGCAGTTTTATATAGGGGACAACGAGTTTATTTAACGATAGGCTATCGAAAAATGTCACATCGAATACTTTAATACTTTGTTTCAATTTTTTTACCTATACAAAATAATTTAAAAAACAAAATTGAAAATGGAAAATTGAAATAAAATTCGAAAACGAATCGACAAATACTATTGTAACATTCTGTTATTTCGTAAATATTCTTCTCTTATATACATTATTTGTTACTTATATACACGTTGAACTTATGTTTTATGTATGACACGTGTTAACTTGATAATTATTTTACAAATATTGATATTCAGAAATATTATTATAATTTCAATAATATTTGAATAATGATTTTAGAAAATATATTATACTTTATACATGACAATACTCTAGAAACGAATTTTATTAATCGATTTTTATAAGCTTCATTATTGTTTTATTCTATTATATAACAAAAAATATTGATTCGATATTTTTAGAAAAAGATGCATTGTTATCTATAAACAATGTCATTCACTTATAATTTATTAATGTTCAAGTTTTTAAAGTATTTCCATTATTCTTAAAAATATTGAATTTTTCAGAGATAAATTATTGATGAAATATGGTATGTATCGAAAAAATTATTAATTCTCTTAATTATTAGTATTATAGTTTATCTGTATACAAATAAAAGATGTTACATTACATTATGGATAATTGTTAAAAAAAATCGTAGGATTACTTACGCGTATTTCAGACTTGTGGAAAAAAAGATTACAGTATTTGTATACTTTCGATTGTATGATCGAAATATGAGTATCGAATTTCAACTGTTGTTTGCCTTCGCGTGTCGAGGATAATAACATTATACACACACACATATATATATATATATATATATATATATATATATATATATTTAATAACGTTAAAAGTGAAATAGGGAAAATGATTCGCTTATATGATTGGCCTATATAACTATCCATGCAAATCAAATTAATTCTAATACGTACGTAGTCATATTCGCTATTGTTTTTCTTGAAAAAATATAAAAATTGTCATTTTAATAATCATACAAAATTATTTTAAAAAGAAATTGAACAATTTTATCGATATATTCGGTGGTGAAAGTTGAATCGGAAAGATCATATAGTTTTGTGCCAGAAATACGTATGTGCAAATTATTCGGTTAAAGTGTGCACGCTCGACGTCGATTTCGCAGTTGTGCCAAAATGAACGAATAATAAATGCATACGTAATGAAAGGATAAGTCAATAATGGTAGGATATTATTTTTTTACAAAAAGGGATTAAGAAGACAATTTTCAAGAGGATGGTCATAAAACGTGAGTTTCTATTGCTACAAAGAATGCTATAACGAAATTGATATAACTTTCTACTTACTTGGAAGAATTACTTTAAATGATTAAATCCGTGTATATGTAATTCGTTGTTTTATACTTTTTTTTCAATACTTAAGAAAACAAAAATCATTGATAAAAAAGACACGATAATTTATATGTTCAACATAAATTATTAAAAATTATAATATAAATTAAAGATACGATTGGAAAAGATAATACGTGCAAACATTAGCCTAGATTAAAACTGGAGATCATCTCGAGTTGGTAAGTTAACCGGAAGAGAAGAAAAATTAACGTAGGAGGGAATTCCTACGCGTCACATGCGTAGGTCTTTTTCCGATATTATTGATAGACAAGGAAATTAAAATTTCTTAAATTTATGGCTACTGAATTTCGTGGAACGAATTTATCACGTATATTCTTGCAATTTTTTTTTTAAAAAAAAGAAACGACAATAATTCTTTATAAGCTATATAATACTTTAAGATTTAATTGCTCAAGCATGTGTTTCATTTCCTTGAAATTAGCAAGCGCATCGTCTCAGTATCATGTAAGTATTTTGTGAATTATTGTGCTCTTATCTGCATATTCCATACAATGTAGCAATAATGGCAAGTATTGCGTAAAAAAAAAAAAAAAAAAAAAAAAAAAAAAAATATTGCACACTAAATCATACGATATTGATAACTTAGAGAAGACGTTTTACTTTGTACACGTTTCGAAATTGATGTTTAGAAAATAAATAGATTTAAGGATAAAGTCGAGGACGTTTTGAATTCGTTGGAAAAGTGACTGATTTATGTAAAGACCACGATTCTTTAAATATGCAAGACGCGATTTTTATTCTTTTTAAATAGCAAGAATCGTCACGTGAGGCTAAATGTTTCGAAGGAGGTTCGCATCACGATAGGGAATAATCATTGCCAATAATGTTTCAGTTAAGAAAGAAATATTTTTGCTTAAATAATGTAAGTACATTAGTCTCTCTACAATTTATTTTAAACGGAGGAAATAATTTTGTGGGAAATAAATAAGAAAACAAATTTTTTGTTTTGTGAATCAATTTTATTTATTATCTTTTATCTTTTTTAAATATTTGATTTCGTCTATATATACATATGTATATAATATGTAGAAATAATATTTCACGCATTGTATACAATTATATATATTTAAGATTATTAAATTCTTAAAGCGAAATCAAACATTGAGCATACAAAGTAATATATATTGATTGAAATAATGGAAAAAATGATATATAATAATAATAATATATAAATAATAACAATGTAAAATTGTTTGATATACAATGTGTTTAATAAATATGTATTCAAGTACTGTAACATATTTTTTTTTTTTAGTGTGACTGTACTTTGATTAGAAAATAAATAATTCATTAAATTAGAGGTGCATTAAGTACTATTTGGATTGAAAAGTTTGCGTTAAAAAAAAATAATAATTACACATAATAATATAAATTAGGTTATACATTTAAATAAATTTGAATGTTTCGAATGTTGATATATAATTAATATTTGGGATATAACATAAATAATTAAGTTATATAAAAAATAATTAATTATTTGATTCGTATCAATATTCATTTATGCATATTCAGTACATGTTCATATGCAAAAATTTTTATGCATTATGTCATCTTACAAGTAATGTCGTTATATACATATATGTATATATATGTGTAAAATGTACGTATATGCACAAATTTTGCAATATATTTTTATAATCAACGTAAAATTAGAAAATCGAATATTCCCTGTATCGCTGTATAAACTTACACGTATAAACTTTTTTTTTGCGTTCGTGATAAATATGATCAAAAACATTTTGTGAAATAAGCAGTAAACGACTACACTTTTTACAATCTCAATATGATAATTACGATAAAATGCTCATTTCCATTTCTTGGTTAATATAATGTTAAAAGTTAAATAATAGTTTTAATACTAAAATAAAAAGTCTGAATTTTAGCAATAATACTGTTTTTAATTAAAAAAAAAAGCAAATTAGCCGAATAATACTGTTAATGGATATAAATGAAAAGATAGCATTACTTATAGGATGACCTTTGAACATAGTTAAAGAATCATATATGAATCACATTCTTCATATTTTTTTTCTTATATCGGATTATCGATAAGTAATTAATAAATAATTAATATCAATTAGATGATAAATTCATTTAACTATTTCAAATTCATTCATTCATGTAAAGTAAATACTTTAAACACATATTTCATTTTCTTCTTCGTTTTTCACGTGATTGACAAATTAATTAATTCTCCCATAATAATTATTTATTCTCAGTACCCGCTATCCTTATTAAATTCAATTTCACGAAATCTAATTCTTCGATCGACAAATTGTTTGCCGACTCGTCGGCGAATCTTTTATCGCAAATCATCTCTTCGTTCGATGGTATCACGTTCTCAATCAATTGTAAATACTTGTACAAAGGGCAAAGTACCTCGCAGCCGGGTAATTGAAGTTCTCTTGCTTCAGACGGGATACCCAAGTAGTAAACGATCTGCAATGATATTAATCGGTAATTAAAAATACAGAAGAAACAAGAATTAAAGAAACTCGAAAGAAATAAAATAATTCGTAAATACGATTAATTTGTTTCGAATATAATCCTCAAATTATTCGAATAGTTTTCAATATCATATTTCGATATTCAGCATCGTAATTAACTTATTAATAATAATTGAGATGATATATTTGCATATGGCGAAGGATCAATGTCCATAACAATATCGTAAATTGGCCGCTATCGAGGTTGTAGGTTAATTTATAAGATAATTTAAAAATATTGTTTTCGTATAAAAATATAGATATCGGTTTATGCACGATTCATTACGTACCTTTACATAGTGAGTGCCTTCGATATTGTGAAGCTCCATTATAATAGAACTGGAATATTCAGGAACGTGAGGATAATAAAGTTGAAGAGCGTGCAAGACAGCGGCGATATTACTTTCATGTCCACTGAACAAGTATATCTTTCGCTTTTTCTTTTGCGTACCGGATACTACATCTAACATATGCTTGGTGAATATTCGAAGAAGCGGACCTAAAATGGCAATACGATAAAGTGACACGATATTTTATATTAAATAAAAAAAAAAAAAAAAAAGAAACAGAGATATGAGATTGAAAGATATTGATACTTGTGCAAAATTAACGAATCCGTGGAACTGATATAGTAAAAATATAACATTAGTTGTGAAATTTGTATCGTAGTAATAAAAAAAGAAAAAACTAACAATTGAAGAAGGAAAGATTAAAACTAGTAAGGAAAAGGATTTAAAATAAATAAGAAGAAATATTATTATCAAATTACCTCCATAAAGTTTTTTCAACAAAGGAGTCGAATTGGTTATGTTGTACGTAAATACCGTCGCATCGAATAATTCTCCTCTTGGGAATATATTATTTGTCCAAGATGGCAGAGTAAGACCGTAAGATTGTTCGGCCACCAGTGTATGATAGATATAATAATAATCCCATGGCGTAGTGATATTTTTTCCGGTCCACTCTTCTAATTTTTTCTTCAATTTGTCATATTTCGAGAATTCGTACTTCCCACGCGGTGATTCCAATACTCTATCAAATTCGATCGTAAATCTGCGAAAACGAAAAAAATTATTTTGATTGAATTAAGGATTATTTCGATTGAAATTAAGGAAGTTAAGAGAAAATTTTTCCAAAACATTTTTATATATTAACTTACAATAAACAATCTTCTGGCAAAAAGATATTGTCCTCATAGCGGCGCAAATATTTCGTGGCGATCGGTTGCCAGTTCAGATCTTCGTTCCATTGTTGCAATTTATTTGGCGGATAGAGCGCTGCGAGTACGAGTTGCAGAGACATTTTCGTCCTGTCGTAGAACGAACTGAGAGCCGAGACGGATTCTTCCGTGTAAATGTCTCCCAAAAAGTCACCATATCTCTCTCTCAAGAATTGTCCCAATTGATATTCTCGCATTTTACCTGACTAAAATAACAGAATTGGACATTGATTCAATTGAAAAAGTAAGTTAAAAATCTCGAATAATGTTACTTCAAGTAATTATTAAAATGCTCATTTATTTTTAGCTAATATAATTGATCCGCTTTTCGTATAACCTCGATTGTTTGTCATAATTATTTTCGATTATTATTATGTTTTGAACAATAAATTATTGAAGTAATTTATCAAACTAACTTTATTCGTAACTTCAACTATTAAATTTTCATATTTAGATACAAATTATAAACAGATAAATCGAATTTAATCAAATGGATACATGAAAATCAAAGTTGAATTCTTAAATTTTAATATCGAGAAATATATTTTTTTACATCGATAAACTTAATTTGAGGGAAACAAAACAAAGTACTTACGTTAGTCAATTCGCCACGCTCCAGTGGATAAAAATCATAATACAAATAAGGATCTTTCGGATACATTTCATTTTTCTCATCGGGTATCCTATCGCCGTGCCGGAATATCTGTGTAATTATACAAATCGCATATAAAATTGAATTACACTTTTCATTCTTTTTTTTTTCAATTCTAAACAGTAACAATGTTACTTATTTTTCTCTAGATTTTAAAAAATTCAATTCGACGAAGCTCGCAATTCGAATATCTTACTTTATCGAAAAATTTTAAATATAAATAAATTCATTGTTGAATTTACTCACCACATTTATTTGTTTAAGTTCCGCTTGGACGCCGACCACCATCGCTAAAATCGCGATTATACTCATCGATGAGAATCTTTTAAGTTCGATAAGCGAAGTCATCATTATTCCCATTCAACCTGAAATCAAGAAAAAACGTTCAAAATGAAATTTATTCCATTTATCAAAAGATTATTTTTTTCGAAGCGCAAGCAAGATAAAAAAAAAAAAACAAATATCCTCTAAATCTTTCATTCAAACCGTTTATCACGATTTTAAATTAATCGATAATCATCTTCTATGGCAATTTTATAGATTCTATCGTCACGTTTGTTGATAAAAAAAAAAAAAAAAAAAGAAAAAAAGAAAAAAGGCAAGCTTATAAATTAAATGGTAAATACCTGCACGTGTAAAGTATTAATTGATACGTTGAATGAAATATAACTTTGTGCGAACAGTTACGTATAAATGTTAATTTTCAAATGTACACTATTATACGCTTTGAGGAATATAAGATAACGATTAAATTAAAAAGAAAAAACTAGTATCTATTTTATATGTAAAACCTATAACGACAGTGAGAAAATTTCCATGATGTTTTCCGCATCAGAAATTTACCGTTAGGTACGGGGTAATAAAGTAAACGACCCATTTAACCAATATTTAGTGACAACTTGAAATTTCCTAAATTTTCAAGAAATATTTTTATCTTTTCTTTCCACCACGATTCGTCCATTATTATTTCTCTACGTTTATTAATTTTTTTTTCCTTTCTCTCTAACGAAATATCAAACGAGATATACAAGACATTCGATTTTTAATTTAATATTTAATATTTAATATTTTTTTTCATTATTTACACACAGAATTTAATACAGAAATTATAAGTACATTAAGCACTGGTAACTTTTTTTAACACCAATGAAATCTCTATTACGTTTAACCACTAACATCCTTGTCACTTTCGAATAAATTACACTGTTCTCCACGGTTTTCTGCAAATATTTTGAAAAGATATCGATACAACGATTTGTACAGGTAAGCAAAGATTGGATTAAAATTGGAAAAATTTAAATCGAATCACCCAATAAAAAAATCTGGAAAAAAGCGCGATAATTGATTCGTTTTATCTTGGCGATGATTATTTTATCATTGCGATAAAAAAATGGGAAAGAAAATCTTTCTATTTATCGTTAAAGCGAATTTTTAATTTACATACAATTTTTATCTAATCGTTTCCACTTGCACTTGCAACAAAAAAAGAAAAAAAAAAAAGAAAAAAAAATCATCGAACGGAAACAACTAAACGCGGGGATAGGATTCTGTTGTATTTATACCACTTGTAATTGCTATTGTCTCCCGCAATTTTTCTTACAGTTGAAATAGAACTTACGTTTGCACTGTTTAAATGGATACCTATCGTAATAGCTCGGTGACAAGCAATTAATAATAGTGAAGTATCGATTGTGAGACAAGCCGGTGAAATACTGGCCATGTTCCCTATGTGCAAATGATTTTAAAGGAGAGTAACACGTCAAACGGACATATCTTTCTCCGGAATGGTTTCTCAATCGTTGATTTCGGTTGCCGTTCGAACGTGCATAAGTAATGCATGCACGAAATGGAAGTCCCCGTTTTCTTGATCTATGTCGTGCGCATAACATAATTGCCCCCAAATGCGATAAGAAAAACCATATTAGGTTTCTTTTCGAAATTGTAACGCGATATGTATACAAACAATGACCTTGCAAGCTGTGTCATTAAAATATACATCATTGGGAATTATCAAGATCGGTACGTACGTATATTAACATAACGCAACGAAAATTTCCTGTTAGATTATTCATTTCTTTCGCTTCCTCGTGTCTTTCCCTTTTAATTGCCGCATATGCATAATTGCACATAATGCATACATATTTTTCTTAATTATTCGATACGTATTGAATGGAACGTTTAATTTAAGCTATTTGTAAGAGAGAGAAAAAAAAAAGAAATATTTTTTTTTTCCGAATAACATCCAATTTTTGTTCAAAATATATTACGCATTTTCTTAGACACAAGGGAGGGGGGAGGGGGGACTCTTTATTCGCAATTACCGCCTATTTTTGAACTCCAAACTTTTAAAAATGGTTTATTGGCTATTTGAAATCGATCACCTCTTACGCATAAAAGTACGTATAAAGAAAATTTCAACAAATTGAATAGTAGTTTTTATTAGTTCGAGTTAATGAACAGTACTGGATAATGGATAATATACTTATCGGTCACTATTGTATTCGTAATGCGTTTTCTGCGTTATAAATACGCGAGGGGTCATTAAAAATCTCTCGAATCGAAAAGATATAAAAATTTTAAGATGCATCGAACCCGAATGACTCGTAAATTTTCATTTCGTGTATATATATATATACATTCGAATCGAATTTTTTTTTTTTTTCTTCTAAATTTTTCGTAAAATTTGAAAATTATTTATCTATGTAATCGTTATATACGTATAATATACATGCATACATTTTTCGTAGTTTAGCAAGACTTAGCAATTATTCAGCAATTTTAATTAATGTGCTTTTTTACGATAAACAGATACTAACGATAGATAAAATTCCCAGAATGTCACGTGATTTCCATCGAATTCGTAATTCCTTTTCTAGATATTTAATTCCCTTTAATCGAAAAAATTCATTTAATTAAACGTAACGAATATATTTACGATATTTAACCATATTTAGCTTGCTAATGAAAAAAATTACTGTAAATAATTAATACATTACGGGATATTATTTCACGAACGAAGTATTGAAATAAATAAGTTAAAGAGATTATAGTAGACTTTTAATTTGCTTAAAATTCGAATAAATCCAAATTTCTTTTTTTTAATTGCGCGTTATTAATTCCTATGTAAGTGTTTTTTTTGATAGGTACCGTTATTTGTTTTCAACCGATCAAATGTAAATATGTACTCTTTTATCGCTTGATTCCAAAAATAACTACATCGCATAAAAAAAAAATCGATAAGGTATTTATATCCACGTTTCGAAAATTCAGAGTTGATGTATTTTTTTATTAAAAAAAAAAAAAAAAAAAGAACATAATATTACTTTATTTGTATATTTTTTACGCATTCCAAACATAAAAAAAAAAAAATGGATAAAAAAATATTTCAGAAATCAAAACATGCACAATAATTTTTGATGGACAATGATATAATTTAAAGAAAAAAACAATTCCTATTTATACATTTATTCATTTTCTATGGCAAAGTTAAAAAAATATCTATCCGCAAAGTCCTAAAAAATATAAATTTTCTGATTTTTTTTGCACTCATCATCATTGCAAACAATAAAACTAAAGTGATACGTAAAAAAAAAAAAAAAAAAAAATTTCAAAATTCATAAATAAATTTTTTTGCAAACAATAAAACCAAAGTGATACGTAAAAAAAAAAAAAGAAAAAATTTCAAAATTCGTAAATAAATTTTCGAAATTGCACGTGTTACACGTGGATACAACATTATAATGCATACACAGCATGCGCTGTACGTACGAGATAGATTAACAAAAAAAATTCTAACACGCTTTTACGCTCGACTCCTATATTACTAATTTGATCTTGTCTTGATATTTACACGAGCATTAAAAATATTCGAGCAATTTTTATCCTTATTCGATTAAAAAAATATCTCGGCGTAAAAAAAACCTGTGCAAAAACTTCGCGATATTCGTGAAAAAAAAAAAACGATAAACAAGAATTTACACGGAAAAATTAGTCTGGCCGCGGATCGAACGAACTTACATAAACTACGAAGAATGAACGAATACGAAACGAGCGATATACCGGTGTGACTGACATTTGACGTACGATGAGAGAGAGAGAGAGAGAGAAAAAAATCATTAATTTCCTTACGAGAGCAAAGATAAATCGTCGCCTTCCTGATTTCCTTCGCTAACTAATTACGACTAGCGTCTACGGAATTATAGTATTATTGCGAAACTGTAATTTGAACGTTACGCGAAAGAAAATACGATGAATAGAGAGCAGAAAAAAAAAAACATGGCATTGTTATTGTATCGTGAAAATAAAATATGCACATTTATTTTTCCTTCTAAATTGTTAACACAAAGGACGTAATAATAAACATAAGTAATATATATATATATATCGAAATATCAAAAGCTGGAAGAGCTTCAAAATTATATATTTGTGTATGATTATTTTAATCGTCTATACAGAAAGATATTTTCTCTTCTTTTTTTCTCTATTTGTTATCCATCGTTTCATCGGTGGATAAAAAAGCTATTTGCCAAGAGTTGACAAGTAATTTCACGTTTTGGATAAAAAGAAGAAAATTTGTAAAATTTATAAAGAATAATTCTCTAAAAATGAGAAAAAGCGTAAATTCGATCGAAAGCAGGAAAATATATATCGATAAATAATCTAACTTACGATATATCGTAAATATATCGTATCGTATAGGGAAGACAAACGAATCTTACCTCTTGCTCTTCGAGATACAAATTTGTCACTGAACTTGTGATTAAATAATACACGGACGATACATATATATATATATATATCGAATTTATATTACGCTCCGGCGTCGACCAAACGTTACATTTCTCTCTCGAAATATGAAAAAGTGAAACTCTAAGCGCTTACGTCCGAATTTAAGTGTCTCAATCTTGTTGATAGCTTATTGTATACTTAATGTTATACGCGGATTCAACTGTTCATATCTCAACAATTATTCGACTAGTAGTGGCTCACGATACGATCGTTAAATTCGTGGTATAAATCTGGTATAAATCTGAGTATAATACTCTTAAATTGAAAAAGGAATTATTTGGTTGTGCCAAGAATAAGTACATATAATTTGGATGGAGAAAAAGAAATAATATATATATACGTGTGCATGTATACGATAGATAAAACTGTACAGTGTGTGCAGTATAGTATAATATGTAATACGTATTATCACGTGGACCGAAGTGAAGCGATGAATTTCTCATTTGACGTAAATTCTCGATAAAGATAATTAAAATGATGTATCTCCCGTCTCAATCTTAACGGGTGTATATATATATATATACATATATATATATATATATATACATATATATGTATATATATGTATATATATATTAAGTAATGTTAATATACCCGTTATTGCCGCGAAATGTTTCGATGCATGTTGGGTACGTGGTCGCGTGTTTTATCACGTGAACACCATCCATGAAACCTGAAATTTGTCGATGATAAGGTTTCACGATTTACGATATCACCGTTTATGTCCGACTGATACAAAACGAGTTTATAGAAACCGGGTTAATGATACGGAAAAATGATCAGAGCAAAATTAGTTACTTTTTTTTTTTTTCTTTTTCCTCTCTTCGTTCTACAAATTTTCAATTATTCGCACACAGATTTATTTAAAAACCGGAAACGAATTTGAACGAGAATGAAAACTAACTAAGTGTGTAAAAATAAAAATTAATTTTATTTATTGTATCTTTGATTTCGCTGTAGATATAAATAATAAATGTG